GAATCTGAATTTCTTAAACTTTTCACTCATTTAATATTATTTATAAAATTTAATATTCCATTTTTTTTTTTTTTTGCATATATGCAAGAATACCGATACATACAGATAAAAATAAGCGTATATTTAAAAATATTCCATCTTGGTTTTTTATTGCCGACTCGAGTACCGATAAATAAAAAGCACTATTTTAATGTGAAAAGAGGGCAAAAAAAGAATTGAAAGGGATGAAATTGGGAGAGGCTAAAGGCAGACAACTAGTTGAGTAAAAACAAGTGCTTATATTTAAATGTATTGTTTTTTTTTTCAATTTTTGATTATACATATAAATTTTTTTTGGTGAGAAGTGAAAGGAAATTGCCTAAGCGACTATGAAGCGTTCTGTGAAGAGGGGTTTTTTTGAAATGCAGCAGTAATTTAAACTATTCGCGTATGTCTGCGCTTGTGTGTTATGAGGAATAGGTGAAAGGAGTACAGAATTGTTCAACTTGTTCTCGATTAAGTTTTTAGTGGCTATTGAAACTGCTGATGAGATAGATAGCTGAAGCTGAAAATTCTGATTGTTGGGTTGTTTCATTTTAGGTCCTGTATGCAGTTTTGAGCTTTCAAGTGACTCTCAGCGTGAAATTCCATTTATTGCTGAAGTCGTCGACGATAAAGAGGGATTTGGTGAAATACGACTAAAGGATGGATTACATTTGGATTGTAGTGTACCAGTCTACAAACTTAACATCGTTGCACTTCGTTGCAGCGATAACGCTAAATCCGAAAGGTTTCTCCTTCTTCTTTTGCTTTTTCTTCTGTTTTTTTTTTTCATTCTCTTCTAAGCTTTACGTTTATTCACTACTTCAATTTGATTTTTTTTATTTTTTTTTATCTGCAGATAACAGTTATTGAAACTTAGGCTTTTCTGCACTTTTCATTATAACTTTTTTGGTATGTCTATGTAGGGGTGAATTAGTGTCTGTATTAACAGGTTTTAAACAGATATTGCTTTTACTTTTGGGACGATGAGGGAAAAGGGGGCAACTAGAAATCAACCATAAAAACAAAAAAGAAAGAATAGATGAAGCCTACAAAAGATTTTGTTGTAATTTTTTGTTGCTGAATTTTTCTTTTTTGTTGTCGATGCTTCACGATACTTCATTTTCAGTATTCCACTGCAAATAACAGTGAAAGATGTGAACGATCATGCACCAGAATTTTCACAACCCTGGTATACGTTTGATGTTCAAGAAGGTAGAGCAATTATGATTGTTGTCATTGGTATTGTTTTGTTGATGTCTAAATCAATAGCAAGGAAAAAGTTTTTTTTTGGCAAAATTTAATCATAAACAAAAATTATCGTTTGTTGTTGTTGTCGATGTTGCTAAGCTTAGATTTTCCTTCTTTTTTTTTAAGCTAGCAAAGTCAGCAGTTTAAGAAAGCAAATTCTGAACATTATCAGTTTAAAACAATAAGAAGTGAAGTGATTATATGTGAGGTACCTTCAGATACGTTGTTTAAAAAGCACTGAAATCCAGTTAAACCACATAGGCACAGCTGCACCGATACACGTATTCAGTGTACTAAATGTACAGCAAAAGACTTTTTTGTTTATCATGAACCGTGCTTTTTTTTTTTTTTTTTTTTTTTTTTTTTTTTTTTT